TGGTCCACATCTACTACTGAGGCTTAAGCACAAAACTGGGACCGTGTTTACCTTGAGGAAGGAGAAGTCCCAGTTACTCTCAATCTGAGTGATCTCCAGGTTCCCCATGATGATCTCACAGCCGCTGTAGCGGTCCTTGATCAGGTTGTACTGAGTCTCCTGAGAACCGGTGGAGCTCAGACCGTTCTGGGTACCCGGACACACCTCTGGCAGAAGGAAAGTGAAAAGATATTTTCTCATATCAGAAGTGTATGGTTTGCAGAAACATGTTTACATGAAACAAATCAAAGCTGTCATGGAAATTGCTCATTTTTGTGCTTTTATCACGTTTTGTCATGCACCAACAAGCAAAGTACTTCATTCGGATTTTATGTGATAGAGCAACATAGAGAAGATTGTAAAGTGGAAGGAAACAATAAAAATGATTCAATTTTCTTTGCAAAAAAAAAGTCATATATAAAACTACTATAAATGCATCACCACTGTTATGTGTATCGAATAGAAGAGAAAGAAAAAGAAACATCTTTAGTCTCAAAGTGGGGAAACTCATTTATATCAGCAGCACTTTGAAGCATGCATATTCAAACTAAGGTAAAAATTATGAAAAGAGATTTTACAGTAAGGACAAATGTACAACATAAGAAAATAATACTGACAGTTATTTTAAATAGCACAATCTGTTTAAAGGAATTGTGCACCTGAATATAAGGCAGTTTAAAAATGCGATATTTGTGCATGCAGAACAACAACAGACTCTTCACAAGAAACAAAAAACCCTGCAAATAACAGCAGACATGGTTTTGCACAAGCATTTGCACATCTATGAAACTAAACATTTTTGCTCATTTGTCTTTGCGAAGCAACAGAAACTCAGTCAGGCTGGATGGAGAGTGACTGCGAACAAATAATGTCAAGCTTCATGATGAATTCTTCACGGAGCTGAGGTTTTGATTTTGACTGGACTATAGTAGAACATGAATATGATTTGAGCTAAACGTTGTAGTTGTGGGTGTTTGTTGGGGGCTAATGCCTGAATGGAGAACCTCTGCTCCAGTCTCAAGGATTTATCAGCCTTTAACAGACTTTTTCCAGTGTCACCTGAACGCAACTGCATCTGTCTTTCCATTAACCCTCACCAGTTACTCTGTGCCTGCTGATCGAAAGCATCCCCACAGCATATCGACGCCACCGCCAGGGTTTTCATTGTGGCGACGGTGTGTTCAGGGGGGGATGTGGAATCTTGGTTTTGCATGTTGGCCACAAGGTTTCGCTTTGGTCTCGTCTAAGCACCTATTTCCACAGACTTTTGGTCTCCCGCATCACTTGTGGGCAAACTGCAATTCCAGTTTTCTCTCAGCAATAGCTTTACTTTTATCATTATTCCATAAAGCTCAGATATTTGGAGTGAATGATTTATAGATGTCCTGTCTGGAGATTCTGAGGCAAACAGGCAGTCGGGCGCAGGAGAAGCCCAGGCCCTCAGGGCCGTGAAGAAAAGGCAGAAGGGTCGAGGTTTTTCAGACAAAGCTAAGCATTGTGATAAAGCTATAAATGTGGACTCTGTGTCTCAGAGAGCAAAGAGTGATGCACTGACATACAGAGCTTCTGTGTCTGTATCTGCGCGTCTGCAGGGAAAGTGTTGCTGAGCTCATACCAGAAAGACAATGGCCCATGTGTGAGTAGGACGCTCTGGCGGAGGAACGGAAATATCATAAATGGAAAGAGACGCGTTCCACCTCCTGGCAAGTGACTAAAACTGTACGTTGTTCTGGCTCATTTTGTGCAGAGACTAGACACCTGCAGCAGGGTACAGATCATGAGTCATATTTCCTGTTTTTATTTTGAACTTTGCAGGTAGAGGCACGATCGTTCAAGCTGCAGTGACATGACGCTCCCGGGGCCTTCATGTCAGCAGTGACGCTGCACACAGCTGGAACATCCTCAGTGAAATACACTTGCAATTAATCCTTCATACATGCATGTGTTTCACTCGTAAGTAGGACTATAAAAGTTTTGAAAGTATAACTACAGGTGTCTCTCTTGCTTTCTGTTCTTCGCTCTAGTGTTTTGTTAGTAAATAGTTCAATTATGAAACACACTGGTGGCAGCATCACACCGTTGGGACAGGGATGCTGGAGTTAATGGGAAGGCGTATGGAGCTAAACGTGGGGCAATCATAAAACAAACAAATAAACAAAAACATATTAGAAGAGACTTTGAGAATGGTCCAGTCAAAGTCCAGACCAAAATCCAATGAAGAATAGGTGGAAAGGACTTGAGATTGAGATGTTCAGTGAACTTTGTAGTTGTAGTGAGACCAACATGTTTGTAAGTTACTCGTGATATTTAGCATAGAAAACTAAATAAAAAAACAAAAATGGTTGAGAAAAAATATATAATAAAACATGAAGCCACATTTCTAGAGACAAATGTTTTTTTTGTATTCTATAAATTTACCTACCTTCATGTGATTGAGCGGACCCAGTGTGTATCCTCCATGACAAAGCCACACAAAGTAACAGGACTTGCTGCTGGTCCATGCTCACTGACATTTCAGCATGTCAGGATTTAGATCCTCCAATTAGCAATATAGGAGAGAAATTCAGTGGATCTAACAAAGATTAAGATATAATGATTAGATAAATATATGTAAAAAAAAATAATAATAAGTAGACTATGTGAAATTTCCTTTGTTCCTCCAAACATTAGTTTCAGGAGCAGACTGATGGATCCAAACAATTCCACCGAAAACCGCGAATAAGCTGCAGTTTGGTCTCATCGTGGAATTTCCCTCCTGGAGAGAGGGAGTCTGATTGGCCCACAGCCAGAATTATTGACCAATCAGAAGCTGGTCCGTCTTCCCCCCCACCGCCCCGCTCTCAATGCACGAGAGTCTACTTTTAATCTCGGTCAGGACTAAATAACAAAGAGCACAAAAAGTTACAAATACAAACATGCAGAATAACATATTTTGGAATCGACAGATTCAGAGCGAACCTTCCTGGTGTGAACCACCCCGTGTGACTCTGTCTGCAGTTGTTTTGGTTCAGCTGCTGCATGTGGACGCAGCTCTGATGAGTCTGAGTGGACGCACTGTTCCCCCTGTAAAGAGCAGTATTGTCCGCCAGAGTCGCGTCAACTGGTTAATCACCTCTTTGATGCGTATGGAGCTGCCTGCCACAAAGGCCGCATTGTCTGATGGTCAAGTGACTTCTGAACCCAAAACAAGAGCAAGCTTAATTTGGGGGAAATGGCTTCAGAGAAGACAAAAATTCCTGAGCTTGAATCTGGGGAAGCGAGGAGGGAGACTAATCTATATAATCACTGCTAATGGACGGGTTATCGGCAAGTGCTTCTGACGGATTTGCTCATAATCTTATTTATTTATTTATTTATTTTGAAAGAGAACAGGAAACGTGAAAGCTATTCGTTTGTGCAGAATTTTTTTTTAAATATCCCCTTTCTGATGTTAAACTTTTGCATTAAATCTGTTCGGACTGAAGTAGAAAATTAAGCGATAATACCTTTTGTTAGAAGTTGAAAAGTACGGGATTGTCTGATACATTTCTGTCCAGTAGGGGGAGCCAGAGTCTGAGCGCTGGCTCCTGGAGTCCCTGTCTGCTGCAGGTGGACTCTGTCAGCTTTCATAAATGCAAGGTCATTCGTTTTTTTTATTTTTTTTATTACTTATTAGTTGTTATGCTTGCTAGTGCTATGTAGAACTATTAAGATCAAATACAACTCTGCACAACCTTGGATCTGTGTAATCAGAAGCTGGCCACAAAGTGACACAGACATCATTTAGTGTGAAGAAGTTTAAGATGTGACATATTGCACTGGAAACATCAACAACACACATAAAACCCCCCAAAAGATTTAAAAAAGAAAAAAAAACGTGCTTATTTTCGTTTTTAGTCCTATGCTTTAGACGAATAAGTGATGATTTCCTTCAGCGTCCTGGTGGCCCCGGTCTGGTGGAGAAGCAAACTGTGAGCGCTCCCTGCTGTGGCCTTTTGCAGCGACCGCTCCCTTCAGAGATTGATGAATTGATTGTGTGGCTGCTGCCAGTGTGTCTGTGCCCTGGGCGAAGGTGTCCCGGTTACGGGTGGGAATCCCAGCTATGGCATCTGCCCTGGGGCCGCCATTGTGGCCGTCCTGCAGGGGGCCCCGGGGGGGAGCTGGTGGCTCTGGGAGCAGCTCCGACTCACATACTGCTGTCACACCCTTGGAGACACAGCTGCATCCTTCCCCCCTCCACCCTCGCGCCCCCCCTATATGCCCTACCGATCAGCTCAGACAAAATGAGTCCACAAGGGACCTAGAAGACTGTGCCAAAGTTTTCTTAATGCCACCAGCTTCGGATGAGGCGGGGATAAAAAAAAAAAAATACCACGTAAAGTCATGTTCTTCACACCTGTTTGAGCAATTCTTTTTATGTCCACCACCACTTTAGAATAAATCAATAAAATACAATATTAGACTGAATTTTTGTTCTTGTTTTAGGACCTTCAGTATAAAATGCTTACATATTTGGATATATGAAGAATTAGGAAAAAGGAAATTCACAGTTGGAGCGTTTTCAGATTTTTCAAGACTGCCTCTAAGGAAGCGTGTATTGTTTTATGTACAGCCATGTGTTAAAAAATTAGAGCGTGTTCTGATGAGGCTTGCTTAAAAATAAACAGGTATTAGACATATAGTTGTTAAGCCCACATTTCTGTATTAAAATGTTTAATATTTATTGCCATCATCTGATATTTTAACCCTACGTTTTAATTAGCTTTCAGCAAAAAAAAACCCCCGTCATAATTAAATATAACGTAGGCTTGAAAACTATCCGTGTGTAATCAAACTTAGTGAAAGGATCTGACAGAAATGAACTTTTCACGAATGCTCTAATTCGTTGAACATGACCCATATACGGTCAAAGCGTTTGAATGCTGAGCTTAAAGCAAAGAAAAAAAAGTTAGACAAGGAGCAGAAACAGGAGAAATCGGTTCAATTTGGTCGTTTATTGATTTTTGAAATACCAGGAATCATCAGATCAGTGTTCATTTTCACACCAGGTTGTGTTTACGTCCTCTTCATATTCTAACAGAGTTTCCTTCTGAATCAATTTCTGGAAACACAACAGAACAAAATGTTGCCCGGCCTCGTTTCTTTTCGCCTGACGATGATGATAATAATAATAGTAATAATAATAATAACTATAATCTCTGAAAGAAGGATGTTTAGCCACAACAGTGTCACAGATATCAGGTGAAATACTGGACGTCTTCTCCACAAACAAACCTGTTATCAAAGAGGAAAGAAACCACTGACTTAATAAGGCCACAAAATGAAAATTCACAGCAAACAGAACATGATAGATAAACACGTCACACTCACACGCACAAGCTGTCGTCGGTTATAATCAGGTTATTATCTACAGTTTAACCGAGAGTAACAGTGGATCGCTTCTCCTGCCACGGTAACATACAGTATATACAGTTGCGCGCCGACATAGAAAAAGCATGCTCGTTTGCATATTAGGAGGTTTTTTCGGTAAACTTTACACAAATTCATGACAATTTTTATGGGTTTTTTTTAAGTACAGCATTGATCCAACCAGCAGCAGTGATTCTGACTAACAAATATAGTCTGAAGGAAACAGGCCAGTACAGTATATTTCACTTTTAATTACACATCTTTTACAGTATTAACATGCCTTACGATGCAGGGTGACTTTCAATCGCTCTCTCTCTTGTTTTCGGACTGCGCGAAAACACAAGGCGTAAAGAAACATCGACCTAAAACGACGAAGTTAAACAAAACGAAGGAACAGAAGGACAAGCAGAACAGGACAGTGCGTTCTCGTGGAGCGATAAATGACAACGTGCGACGAGACGCGTACGGAGATCTGGTTAACAAAAGCCGTAGCACGTGTGACGGACGAGCAAAGCCCCCGACAGATGAATAAGCCGAAGCAGAAAAACTGGGTTTTCGAATAAATAAACATTCAGAACCGAGTAAGCTCTAAAAACCGCCAATCACATGCTGTGCTGAATCACTCTGCAGCGGCAGCACTTTTTTTCTTCTTCTTCTTCTTCTTCTTTTTCTCTCCTCGCTAAGCTGGCACAGAGTGGCTGTCTGTTCTGTCGTCTGCATTAGCTTGGATATCACACCTCGCTGAGGCCGGATGAGTTGTCTTTAACCCTCTCTGAGCCGCCAAGAACATTTGTTTTATAGTATTTACAACAGAAGCCTTCATTAGTTCCCACAAGGCCAAATGAGGGATGCGTCCATGCAGGTTGGGAAGCAGCAATAATGCACAGTTAAACTACAGAGACTTTCTTTTGTTTTTGTTGGGGTTTTTTCACACAGCTGCCTGAGCAGCACCTGCACACTGCATTAAAAAAAAAGAAGAAATCATTCAATGCACTTAGAGCTTAACATCAATCGATGAATAAACAAAACGAAGGCGATCGTTCACATCGGCAGAGTTCATGTTTCTCTAAAAATAGAGAAAAAAATATGTTTAAAATAAATACAATCTTGAACCTAATTCATTCTGTCACATAAATAAAATCTGGGGAACACATTTCCACGCCAGTGAAAGCTTATTTTGTCTGAGCCCGTAGAAGCACACTGCATGTAAAATTGTGAGTTGATGTTGTAGCATACTGTCCCTCTACACGTTTGCGACGTCCTTTGCGATTCACACCAGGTTCGTGGCTTCTAAGGTGAGGCGGTTTCTGCCACCATGTTGTGAAAAATGGTAAATATTGGATGTAAATCACAGGCTGTAAAGAAGTGGAGAGTCATACGCCTTCGTTGTAACGTTGCACAATTAAATCCCGATATTAGACGCGTTCAGTCTGAAAAGCATAGATTGGTTTGATCAGCTTTGACACAATTTGTTTGTAAATCATTACATTAAAAAAATAAAATAAAATAAAAATCTCACCACAGATCCAAACGAGTCAAATGAATCAAAAGTACAGAAACGGAAATATCAGCGGGGGAGAGTCTATCTCCTGGGAGCTTACTGAGTGATTTCTCTCTACTTAGTGAACACAACAGACTTACTGCAACCTTCCACCCAGACTCTTCCCCGACCAGCTCCTCACTTCTTGTTCTTCAGCTGGTTGGCCAGCCAGTCCAGGCCCTCGTAGAGGCCGTCCCCGCTGGTGGCGCATGTGGCCTGGATGTACCAGTTGCGGTGGCGTAAGGAGTGCAGGCCCAGCTTGTCCGTGATCTCTGCGGCGTTCATGGCGTTGGGCAGGTCCTGGGCAAAAGCCACGCAGAGCAGAGCGGTCAGGTGAGGAAACCCGTCAGCTGAGGGGAAAAGTGGATAAAAAGAGATGAGAAGAGGACTTCACCTGTTTGTTGGCGAAGACGAGAAGAACGGCGTCCCGCAGCTCGTCCTCGGCCAGCATCCTCATCAGCTCCTCGCGGGCTTCGTTCACCCGCTCGCGGTCATTGCTGTCCACCACGAAAATCAGACCTGTATCAAAAAAAAAAAAAAAAAAAAAGAAAGGGAAAAAGTGAAACAAGCCCAGCCCCCAACGTCACATTAAAAAAACAGGCATACATGTTGTTAAAACTAATTCTGTTAGAGGTTGTTTCAAAATGTCTGATGGTAATCTGAAACAGCAAACGAAGCTGAGCTAAAGCATTAGTCAGATGTGCCCTCGAGTGCTGTAGGCGAGCGTTCTGCCGTCTCGTTAGCAGCAAAGTGCAGAAGCTCCAATGTATTTTATCGGAATTTTATGTAACAAAATATACGAAGAGGAATGAAAACGAGAAGAAAACAAAATCTTTAAAAATGTGCTGTGCATTTGTTTATGACCTTTGAAGCAGCAATTCTGATGCAATTACAACAAATATATATATTTTTTTTTATCAATTTACTTTGTGCAAAAACACTTCATCTCAGTAAAATTAGAAGGAGTGTCTGTCCACTGCAAATTCCCAAGTCTTGCAAGAGATTCTAACTTGAATTTAGGTTTTGACTGGGCCATTCCGACACATGCAGCCGTAACATAAATGATTTCATTGCTGCGCTAGCTGCAGCTAGAAGGTGAACGTCTACCTCAGTCTCAAGTCTCATGCTGTCTTCAGTGACTTTCCCAGTATTGCAGGGTTGGAGCTGCAGCTATCTTCCCATTAGCTCCCACCAATTACACTTTTCCTGCTAAAACCATGCCCCCCAATGACATGATGCTGCCACCATCATGTCTTCTGGTGGAGATCATGTGTGTCTAGTGTGATGGGTCACACAGTGTTTTGCATTGAAGAGAAACGTTGGCCTCATTTCATTAGAAAAACCTTCTTCCATGTGTTCGCTGCCATGTGAATGACTAATAGTTGTTCTGTGGACAGATTCTTCAATCTCATTCTCTTTCTATTTTGAGAGGATGGACAGAACTCTGTTATGTGTTTAAGAGGATCAAAAAGGAGGGGACAAGATACAAATACACAGCAAACATTTCAGTTTTTGTTTTTTAAATGAACTTTTTTGTAATATGACAAAACTGAAAAAAAAAAAAAAAGTCCCTGAGCTCGCCTTGAGTGTTCTGGAAGTAATGTCTCCAAAGGGGACGGATCTTGTCCTGGCCACCCACGTCCCACACGGTGAAGCTGATGTTCTTGTATTCCACCGTCTCCACGTTGAAGCCTGAACAGGAAAGACACAGCACACGGAGTTGAGGCAGATGCTCATCGCCACGCGGGACTGGCTGAGTTCTTCCGCTCTCGTCACGGACCGATTGTGGGGATGGTGGTGACGATCTCGCCCAGCTTCAGCTTGTAGAGGATGGTGGTCTTCCCGGCGGCGTCCAAGCCCACCATGAGGATCCGCATTTCTTTTTTGCCTATCAGGCTCTTCAGCAGGTTCCCAAAGATGTTTCCCATGATGACTCGGACCTCGGCTGCAACAGAACTGTGAGACGGGTGACTGAGCAGCAAAGCGGGAGCAAATACAGTCATGAAGGAAAAAAACAAATAAATAAATTTAAAAAAGCGTCTTCTACCAACATTACAGTCTTAGTACACTCCAGGATTTGGCTTTAGAAGCGATGACTTGATCTTCTTTTTGCACAATTGCCTCATTGTCTTGTGGAAGGATCAGTTGCTGTGATTGAATATCTGTAATTTTGGTCTAAAATGTCTAAAGGGGCCCTGTGACGTTAAAGGACACATAACGTAACCTGACAACCTTTCCCACCTCTCACCCTATTGGCTGCTTCAGACAGGCACCTGACACCCCCCACCCCGACGACCCGAAGCGGGTCTAGGCCCGCGGGTTTAGCCGGTGGATGTCTAAAGGAAGAACCCTTCTCCTTGCAACCTTTTCAAGCATGTTCAATCTTTTTCTAATGCCGGTGCCATGAACTTTTGGAAAAGAACCGCTGACTCTTCCTGGATTGATGGGCAACAACGATTGCTTCCCAAAGGTCATTGCTGATGTCTTCCCTACTTGGCTTCAGGCTGACTCACATGTGATCCAGACCCAACAAACGAGCAAAACTCCTGCTTCCGTAGAGGTGGTGAACACTTTCTGACGATCAAAATATTCATGTACGTTTGATTAGCAGGATCTGGCAGCTGCGGTGTTCTTAGCTCCCTCCCATCGCTTTCCTGGCCCCGTGACTTCAGACGGCCAGAACCACGGTCAAAATGTTAGCGCCTCAGCAACATCTGAGGGGAAAGTCTGTAAAATTCCACTTCACACGTTGACGGGCGGCTGACCCGACCCTGCTACTGTAAATGGCTACTTTTACAGTACTGCTTTCAGGATCTCTGCTGTGAGGTGGATCAGCTTTCTTGTGAAGCAGGTTAACTACCCATTCAGCTGTTTGCTGGCAACTGAAGCAAAGCAAGCAGAACGATCAATTTGCACGTAACGTAGCCTGCGAGTTTGTATGGCACACACAGTCAATACACTACATAAGAAACATCCTTTTGTCTTAACTTAAAAAAAAAAAAATCTTAAGACGCATTATTTTATGTCATTGTGATTAAAAATCCTCTTTTTATATTTTAGCCTTATTAAACGCACTTGCCTATTTGAATAAAATAAAACAGATTTAATTCAAATATTTTATTAAACGGAACATCTATATGGCGTTCTAGATTATTTTTGTTTGTTTACAATAATCCATAATCTCTGAAAACTGTTAAATGCAAAAACATATGAAGCCAGGAAACAAAAGAGGCATTATTTATTTATTTATGGTGTCTAAAATCTGAATAAGTCAGACTGTTGTGACCAAACTTGAACTCAAGAATTAAGATGACTACTGTATGTTTAAAACACAGTCAGAGCTGCAGCGATAACCTTTAGATTTCCAATGTCATTTCATCAACTACACAAGGAACCGCACAGCCACTGTCGGTGAGCTTGTTGATACAGAGATTGAAGACAGAAAATGCTGAGAAATAGATGTTGTTGCCTTTTAATTTTTATTCATTTTAGCTGTGCCCCTGACTACTACCATGAGATATTTCCTCTAGATTAGCAATTTAACCTTAGATGGGACATAAGGAGCAGAGAAATGGTTAGGATGTTTTATTCCTTTAAACAATCAAGCATATTGTGTGTAATAGGGACCAAAACAAGAATGAGCTATTGGGAAATTGTCCTGACTAAAGTGTGGTCAAACTATTAAATTAGATTTCCAGGGATCAGAATTGTTTGTTCTGCAAAAACCCACAGATGTAAGATTGGATTGAGACCTGGAAGTCAAGTGGACATCTCATTGTTGTGATCCTCAGGTCATTGTGTTTCCCTTACAGCAGGGCATTACTCTGCTGAAAACGGCCAGACTGTCAATGATCTTAAACTATGCTTAATTATGGTAGGAGTCATAGCAACATCTGCATACCGGCTTGCCCTCCAGATTATTTCCCTACTTCTAATAAATCAAAACTGAAGACAAAAGCTTCCCTTGCTGCCTGTTATACCATAACAAGATCATCAGTGGCCACAGTGTTATGCCAGATCTGGATGTTTCTCGTTCACTTCCACATGCATTATCTGCTTATCAATTTTGTATGAATTATCAATACCATTTTATCTCAACAACTTCAAAACATTTTTACAGAGCAGCGGTGGGATTTGACATGCAGTTCAATTCACTCTCTGTGGCCCTCAGTGGTATTGGCCCTTTAATAGGCCAACTCTGCTGTTAACTTCTGCCAACGCATTTCACCTCAGAGACACTTAATGTAAGCAGGGCTTTCACGTGGGGCATCACAATCCTTTCATTTCATTTCAGAGCCAATAACAAATATTTTATACTACATGAACAGGAAGGAGCTGCTAGCACAGCCTGTTACAGCTGCAGAGGGCTGCTCATACATCTGTCATAATGCGAGGCGAAGGGAAGGGAGATACTGCAGTCCGAGCAGCCGATGGCTCCCGACTCGTTTCTCCGGTCTGGATACGACAGCTAGTCAGGTGTGCCTCTTTGCTTCTGATATCAGCTCATGATTTTAGGGGCACTCAGAGGGAAAATGTACGCGTCGATTTGTGCGCTGTAATCCCCGCGTTACAGTCACGACAAAAAAAAAAAAAAAACGGCCGGGTATCGTCGATAACACGACAGTTTACAGAGAAAGGTGCGTTTAAGGACGTTGGAACAGCGGCGTAATATTTCATAAATTAAAACTTGGAACACATCTGTTGAAATTTTCACCTTTTCCATCTCATTCACACTTACCCGTCAACGGCAGGCAGGACACCAGCTGGATTGAGCAGGCAAAGGACTGGATGATAGTCTCGCGATGACTTTAGGCTTTGCTGCAGTGAGTTCTCGCGATACATTGGCCGCTATGAACGCATCTCACGTTTGCCATCCTCAGGTGACTTTCTCAAAAAGCAGGTGGACTGCGGGCACGCAGCTGCTCACTCTGCATGCGTATTCAGTACGAAACAACTAAATAAATAAATATAAAGTCACGAGAAATCTTCTCAAACGCTTCAATAGCGTGTCTTTTGTCAAATTTATTTTAAAAAAATCACTACAATCATCAACATTACAAGGTTATCATTTGATTTATACATTATTGGAACATTCCAGCAAAGCAGAAAATCCTTTCAAAATCTGTTTCAGGAATTCATTTTAAAATGTGAAACTTATATTTGGCTTCTTGTTTTTTTTTCTCACAGAGTTACACATTTCCAGTGATTATTTCTTTTAAATATTGGAGACATTTTATCACAAAATTTTAGTAATGTACCCTTTTACATAAAGTACTGCATCAGTGCAAGAAGAAAACAGAAAAACAACTAAATTTACTTTTAATTAGCTGCTAGCTTTGCCGCTAATTAATGAAAAACACTTGAAATACATCAGTGTGTGTGTAATTAATTAACATGATTTATGAAGTTCACTTTTTCATTGATTTAAATTATGGAGATGTCACAGTACTTCAATAATAGCCTAATTATGCAATGCTTGTGTAAATATTACACATGGAAGGATGGATGGGTGGGAAAAAAATATCTTACATAAATTTTTATTTTACTTTCTCCGACCTGTAACATTTTGAAGACTAATTCTAAGTGTTTATCCAGCTTTTACGGCAAAGATAGAACATTTCTCAAACTCATAAAATAAAGACTGTTTGGATCAATAGAAGAAATGTTAAAATGGTTATTTGTCTTCCCACATTCCAGAAGAAAAAAACTTACCGTCAGCATACCATTAACACACCATCCTCTCAGTGAAAATATGTATTTTTTTGTATTTTACAGGAAGCCACACAATGAATCCTAAGTAACATAAAGTCTCCTGGCAAGCATGCTTAAATAATTAACACAGGAATCATCTTTATGAATAAGTCATTGCCTGACTGTAATTGGATGCCAAGTGATAATTCCTGGCAGAAGCCACTCTCGTGTCACAGATAATAAAAGTGACACAAGAGGCAACAGAACAAAGTGAATTAATATCTGCTTTGGTTTAATCTACTTCAGTCATTGTTTTGGTGTTTTATCATGCGCCGGATGCTTGTTTATCCACCAGAACCAAAGCAGTGTGATTAAATGACACAACCTGAAACCAGCTCGGCAGCCGTGGGTGAATCCAACATTTGCCTCTCTCCTTCCGCTGTGTTGCGTGTCAGTCAGCGGTCCGGTAAAAGATGTGTTTATCAATTCAGCGGCGAAGGCTGGGGAATCAAAAGGGGAGCAGATGTTTGCAGCTGCACACCAGATTACGGGGTGGAGTGGATGGCGGGGGAGCAGGCCCGGTTTTGGAGCTCGGCGAGGGTTACAGGGGGGTTACGGCGGGCTGGGGTGGCGGCGGGAGAGGTAGGGTGGGGAGTTATGACTTAAAGAAGCCTTTCCTCTGATGTGTCTGCCAGCACGCACCCCAAGCAAATACAATCACAAGAGTCGCTGGTTCTGCTAGCTGAACTAATGAGGGCCTGCACGTTGAGGGCAGGGGCTTTGATGTTCTGGGTAGCTGGCTCCTTGTGTTTTCTCTCCCGCTCTCCTTCTCTGCCTGTCCCACATCAAAAAATGCAAGGGGAGTTGAGAAGCAGATGTTTTGAGGCACATTTTTATACACAGTACAGTTCATTCACCCCATCTCAGTAACTCTGTTTGTCCACTGCTGCTGCATCACCACGGCATGAAGGGCAAGAAGACCTATTCCCCCCACATTTTCATATCCAACTAAACACTCTAAATCGCCTTACTTTATACATATAATCATCGTGTCAGTCAAGGCGGGTGACTTTTATCTCTCCTGACTTCCTCGCTGTGCCTGCCTCTCTTTAATTTCAGCCCAATCTGGATGTCATTACTCAAGGGGGTGCGGGGGGTGTGGCTATAGGGGAGGGGGGCAGCCTATCTGTTGCTATGCATGTGTCTCTGCAACGACGACGAGGGGGAGAATGGGGAGGAAAGAAAAAGTCCACCCAACCTCTGTCTCACACATGGGAGAAACAGTGACAGGAAATTCCCTTATGCAGCAGCTCCAGGGTGAAATGATAAAGGAATGAAGAAATGCAAACCAGAAATCCAGGCCTTTATCATTCCAAGCCATTTGCAGTCTCCTGCTTATATCTTCCCTGCGTAACCCCTCCACAACTCCCTCAAAAAAAAAAAAAAAAAAGATATAAAAGGGGGAGAGCAGTCAACTCAGCCACTGGCACTGTCATTCCTCTGGAGTCGAGGGATATTTACCAAAGTCCCTACAAACAAAACTTAATTGGCATTAAATCCTATGTGGCAGAAAGGCTTTTCCCAGCAGGCTGAGCACAAAGACAGTTTGGATTATCTAAGATATCCAGGAATGCAGTCATCATAAATCAAGTCCTGTGGCGACATTAGCATTTTGCTACATCCACAGTTCGTGCACGCGCGCATGGTTTTGATTGTGCCGTGTGTATGTGCTTCGACATACACACGTCTTATCCGCCTAGATGCGTCTGTTTCTATACGTGTGTTTATATTTTTCGCTGGTCTGTCCCCTCAGCAACAGCCATGGAGCGTCCCGGGCAGCGAGTGGTTCAACAAGTTACATCCTTGGCTATGAACTCTGGACAGATGATCCCCTCAGATCCTCACGCAGCAAAAGACTGGTATAATCACCACCAACTCTCTGCTCCTTCTCGATGCGGCTCTCCAGTAATAAAAGTTAGACTTTAGGGAAACAATATCCTGCGGCTATAAAATGTCCTTCTCTCAGCGTGGAGTGGCCATAAAAAAGCCTCTCACCTCCCAAATCTGCAGTGCATCAAGCTTATCCCCACATTTACACAGTATTAAACACAGACGTGCACGTGCTCAGGCCAACACACACAACCCTGAGCATCACTTCAGGACTAAAGTAGGCCCATCTCTCACTTTGACATGTGGTACATGTGGGAAGAATCTAAAGAGCCCTTAAACAAGTGAAACAGAGAAAGCAGGATTATAGTATGATATAAAAGAAAGCCGACACACATCACATTGTAGATATACCAAATGGAGACATATTTGCGTCATATCAATCAGAATTAACATTAATTGTTTTTCTAAACCGACGTATCGACTCCTATATATTGACTTTTTGGGAGTGCAAAGATATTGGGAAAACATTTACACAGTGCTGTAAAAAGGTTTTCCCCCTGCACAAATGTTCCTGATGATCAAAAACTATTATCAGACAAAGATAATCAGAGTAAAGCCAGAGCAAAATGCAGATTTTCCACCATTGTTACATCATTGAATTTACTCTGATTAAACCACATTTGAAGGAAAGCTCAGCTCAGTTCCACTAGCCAAGCTAGGTCTGATTATTACCAGACCTGTACAATCAAGAAATCACTTAAACAGTACCTGTCTGATGACACGAAGCAAGCGAAAAGATTAAAAAAAAGAGAAACATCTAAAGACATTAAACAACAGATAAAAAGTAGAGTTATTGGTATTTATCAGTTTTTAAAGGGTTACATATTCCTTGCTAAAGCTTTGGCATTCTAATGAATCACAGTGAGAGCCATTATCCACAAATTGAGAAAACATGGAACGGTGGTGAACTCTCCTAGGAGGGGCTAACCAACAACAACAAAAAAACTATTAATAACTCATCCGGGAGGTCACAAAATAACCCAGAACCATATGTAATGATATGCATCTGACATTTGCCAAAACAACAACAAAAAAACATTTAAATTATTCCCAAGATTTTTGTGTGAAACCTTCGTGGGCTGACGAGACAACAGGCAAACTTTCTGAAAGGTGCGCGTCCCATTAAAACTGACATAAGACCAACATTTCAGGAAAACAAGTACCATACCAAAAGTCAAACATAGCGGTGAACAGATACAGTCTCTCTACCCTCCTAAAACCTCTGCCAGATATTAAGATTTTTAAATGGCCTAGTCAAAGTCTGGAACTCAATCTGATTGAATTTCTGTGTTGCCAACTTGAATGAATCATTCATGCATAAGAAAATTAAAGCAATTCTGTAAAGAGAAGCGGGCTGAACTCCTCTTATTGTGACATTAAAAAAAAATCAGTGGCAGTTATCAAGACTGTTTGGCGAAAGTTTCATTTGTGAACTAGTTATTAAATTCATCCCTTAAAGAATGAATTCATCATTGATAACTGATAATTATGTTTTTGCTTCTTGGCATCTTTGTCTGACAACACATTTGTATTATGATCTGAAGCATCTGTAAAGAGGAAGACTCTTTTTCACAGCAGTAATTTTTCCCAACAATCTTTGCTGGACTCTCTGCGAAAGACATTTAAACATTTTATGTTGGTTCTGGAGAGCGTCCAAAACAAACACCCCATTAGCATTTGACTGATTTTAATTTTAATTGTGATTAATTTAAATGAATTTGGTCCAACCGATGTAATGCACATGGACACCTTAAATTTGACCTTTCACCTACAAGAGCTGCTTTCCTCCAGATCCATCGGATGCCCTTGTTGGACCATAGATGTAGTCTAAGCAAACTCATTCTTGCAGTTGACCTCCTGAAGTCTCCAAACTGTGAGGATTTTAATGATATTAATGGTTTGATATGATCAAGTTGTTCATCTAAATGTCAAACAGTCCTGGTAAGGCTCCATGTAACTTAGGCTGGAAAAAAGGTGTAATTAAAATTGATCATTTTATTCCTTAAGTTAGAAAGCCCAATGATGTTGGAAATAATGCAAGGTTAGTCACAACTTTTAATTCTAACTAATGAATGAAACCTTATGTTAAGGTTTTTTTTTTATTATTCAATGTAATGTTGACATGTTTTAGAAAAATAGTAAACTGAAAACAGACTCGGTTAGGGGTTATAGCTGAAGTGATAATTTGTTGATATTTTGTGAACAAAATGTCAACAAGTGTTGGAGTGTTAAAATAAGGAACAGGTTTTATAAAAACAGTATTAATCAACTTTTTAACAGTTCTCACATTATCCCAGGTGCACATCCGATTGGTCAATCTGTCCCTTGTGACGTCTCCTACCCTGAAAGTTTGAGCTCCCCAGTGAACTGCAGGAAGGAAGACTTGCTCGATCGAGTCAGAGCAGAGTCATCACTCATTACAGATCCGGTTGTGCCAAATACTGTATTTTAGTTCGCATGGTAAGCTGTGCAACATTTCTCTCTTTTTTTTTTTTTTTTTTTTTTTTTTTAAATTTTTTTAAAATTTTAATTTCCCTCCCCTCACCTTGGATGTGTGTTCAAGGCATCCAATAACCTGGGGCAAAGCAGCCAGCATGAGAGTTTCAGAATGACATCCCAGCTAAAACCAAAGCAATTTCCCAGTCAGCCCACCTGAAATATGGCAGTGAGCGAATAAGCAAAACTCTTGGACTTTTTGAGCTATTGTAGTGTCTTTGTTTTTATGTTTGTTTTGTGTGACTGATATTTAGATTAAAGGTTAATTCTATGGTGTATTAGTGCTTGATTGTATTCATTTAGTGTTGATTCCTAGTAAAGAACTGATAATTGCATACGTAGATGTCTTCTTGTGACTTTGATTGACTGATGCTGATCACTCAATGGAAGGATCAAGAGTTTGTCCCTAATCCCTGATTTTAAGATAATGAGACTGTTTTTGAACCACTGTATTGGAATTGTGGCTGAGATTTCTTTTAATACGGAAAGATAAAAATAAGAGCTAACTAAATTGTATCATGTAGCACTGTGTGAGTGGTGGAATCAAAAATATCCATGATTAGTATATACTGAACGGATTATAAGATGCTAAGATCCCGAAACCTTATATTCATCTTTCAGATAATGTTGGCAGTTCCCTTTTCTGTCATTCGCTAAAACCAACATTAAACACTCTGAGACAATAATCATATTAACAAATGGTGCATTTACAAATATACACTCACGCAATAAAATACAGAGCTACTGTACAACAAGACGAATAAGAAAGCAAAGACTGAGACTTTAGCGCTCCTCTGCTGTTTCTCCAGTTTTCTGTGGGGTAGAAATACTGGAGTGTGGGCCCTCTTCATGGCTGAGAGGGTAGCGTCTAAACAGGCCATGGCAAGACAAATGACATGAGTCACCTCTTCAATCTCTGACTTGGCATTTTGGGATCACAGCAGCTATGCAGAGAAAATAGATCCCAGATGATGGACTTAAAAAAAACACGCACGCAAAATGAGGGGGATAAACAGATTCTCAAGAGTAGTTGCACAAAGAGCAAAACAAAAGCTGGATCTACTTGCACACATTCACCCACTCTGTGAGGCGACACTCCTCGCACAGAACGTAGCAGCACCAGTGAAATCGACAATTGCAACGCTCGCTGCGAGTCTGCCGGAGGATGTTGTGCCCGCGGCCGCAGCACAGCGAGCTGCAGCTGTCTGTGCTGTAGCTCGTTTTGTTGCAGATGCGTCCCTGCGTACCTGGAGAATCTATCGACGCATCGCGCTCGCAGAAATCGGGCGACTTCTCAAAATACACCAGCTCCCTGGACATGCTTCTGCGGCGCCCTCCGCTGAATCCCCCAGCGCTTCTGCGGGCGCTGTTCTCTGTTCGAGGGTTGAAGACGCCATTGTTTTTGTTCTGGGAGTTGACGAAGATGGCCGACAAGAACTTTTCCTTGAGCAGAGATCCAACAACGCGGAACTCTGGAGAAACGTACCAGCAGGTCTTGAACTGACAGCTCCCTGATGTGCCGTGACATTTGCACTTCCTTGTCATGTTGTCAGTCACTATCTGGAAAGAAAGATGAATTATTTCAACGAAATTAACAGCAACGGGCACCATGTTTATACAGTGTCTTTCTAAAATATTGCTACTCTGCATCCATATAGCTTATCGGAATGTGCTACGCAGCTCAAAATGGCGCACAATTCAAATGGAAGGAGAACAATACATGGTTTCTAAATGCACACAAAAACTTGAAAAGTGTGGCCTGGATTTGTAGTAACCCCTTGACCCCTTGAGTCAATACCTTTGTAGAGTGAAATGAGACCAGCTCTTATTTGGATTTAGGTTTAAAAATTGACTGGACCATTTAAACTCATGGATATGCTTTGGCATAATCAATCCATTGTAGCTCAGCCTGAATGTTTCGGGTGGTTATCCTCTGGGAAGATGAACCTCCATTTCAATCTCAAGTCTTTTGCAGATTTTTAACAGGTTTTTCTAAAGAATTGTGCTTCATTTAGTTCCAGAGATTTTTCGTGCTAACAGTGTTGTTTTTAGCCCACATGTACACAACATTTTTCAATTTTCCTCTCATTTGACCAGAACACCTTATCGGAAAATGTTTTGGTGGATTCTAAATGACTTGCATCAAACTTTGAACATGATTTCTTTAGGCTGTTTTTCCATCAATTCTTGCCTTGCAAACACATGACGAAATAGTTGTAATCTAGACAGATTCTCCCACCTGAGCTGTGGACCTCGGCATCTCCTCCAGAGGGTACCATTCACTTCTTGACTGCTCCCCTCATTACTGCTCTTCCTTCCTGCCTGTACCATACTCCATTTGTTTTTTTGATAGCCAGTCAAACTGTGCTCTGTGAGATGCCAAAATCACAACTTAACTTTAGATTTCTGCACAACTTTATCCCTGATCTGTCTGGTGTGTTTCTTAATACCACAGTCACTAATTTGACTGGATTTTACTTATCGAAGTAAAGTTCTTTTGAGAAAAAGTTTGGAAAAATTATACACATTTGTCCTTCCGTTTGAAAAGTATGCATTGCTTCATGTTAGATTGTCACATAAAATCATCACATTGAAGAGTGGGAGTTGAGCGAGGCAAAATGTGAAAAAGTTCAAGGGCTACGACTGCTGGTATGAATAAGCACATCACTCACCTGTCGCCCTACGCGGTTGTTATGTATCCTCATGCGCGCATAGATGTCCCTTGGAGAGCCACGGGAATCAAGCCAGTCTCTTGAAAAACGGTCCCCAAACCGCAAGTCATGACTGCAGCCCCCCCACATCCAGGTGTCCTGCATAGAGCTTAAGTCATCTGATAAAGGCTTGAGCATGGCAGACGTGTGGGCAGAGTGTAGGTCGGGCGGTAGATTCCCATGGTGCCCATTTAGATCTGAGGGTAATGATTTGGTCATGCCGATGCCTACCCCGCCCTTCTGCAGAGTCTGCAGCTGCAGCTGTGTGAGTTTCAGCCGGATCTTGTCATCGTCCTGGCGACGTTTGGCCTCACAGCTGCACCCCCGCAGCTTGCCCATGCTGCAGGCAGAGGCCACAGAGTGAGCCACACCCGCTGCCAGCAAGGCCAGGGAGAAGGCACTCTCGCGAAAACCTGGGGTTCTCAATGAGAACACAGACACACACACACACACACATACGCAAACACACAGATGAAATTGAGAAACAGTGTCAATCTAAATGTGTTGTTCACGTGTCAAAGCAACTCAAGACTCTGAGTTGCTTTGACACTTGTGTAAGCTCTGAACCTCTCACCCCTGCTGAGGATGGTGCTGTGGTGAGGCAGCTTCCCGAAGCTTTCCAGCGAGGAGCAGTTCCATCGCTGGTCGCGCAGCTGGTGCTGGCACTCGTGAATGGCCACCTGGATGCCCTGCAGGGCGGATGCCGTCACGTCGGGACTACGCATACACATCCGCATCTGACGTTTGCTGAGGCCTACCAGTCTCAGGCACACGGAGTGAGGGGTTAGAACTGGATCTCCTGCCACCTTCAGGCTAAGGATGTCATTACATAGCACCCTGCAGGGAAGAGAGAGGTTGGTGGGATTTGTCATCAGAGCTGGTCAGGAGTTCATCAGACAAATCCAGAGAATGTGGCAGTGGGAGGGTGATCTGAATACTAAGCAGGCTCTAAACAACAACAAAAAAAAAAACAGCAAAGATTTCAACTTGCTATTTTACAAAATGAAATACATTTATGGGATGCGTTGAATAATCTGTAGGAAACAGAACCATTTTATGTGCTTTGGTGTTAGTCGCTCTGTGTTAGTTGCAGCAGAAATATAGTTCTAGATAAACAACACAATTAAAAATAATCCAAAACAGATTAAACCACACGATAAGATTTATAATTGCACAGCTCAGACGTATAAACAGACTGCCAAACAATGATTCATGTTATTCTAATATTAGCCTGCAAAATCAAATCCAGATGTATCACCTTTTAAATGAATAGCTATAGTTTTATATATACATAATAAAGCAAACATACTAACATCCCGCAAAATCAAGTCCACTCTCCAGGAACTCTCAAGTGCACTTACGTTAACGCAGGTGACATAAGTGCTGTTGCCAAAATCAGGAATTGATTCCAACGGAGTTTGTTTGATAGCTCCATTTTGTTAAGCGTCTGTCGCGACGGGACATTAAAACTCTGATAATAAGCCACCTCTAGTTAAATAAGAATATTACAAAAAAAATAATTAAAAAAAAAATAGGTAGGGAAAATGCGTGGAGTATTATCGATGTGGCGCCAAACGAGCGAGTAGTGAAGACGGAGAAGAGACGAGCTCGGGGGCGAGAGAGTACACTGGAGGAGGGGGGGGGAGAAAGAGGGGTTAGGGGAGGGGAGTGGATGCCTCTACAGGCGACTGTTTGCAAAATATTAGCCAATATGATTGTCATACTGCTGGAGATAGCGGTCATTCTTGGGGGCGTAAACGAGATGTCTCCAAACTTTTACGCGCGGGCGCTCTCCAAGCAAAAGTGTCTGAAGCTTAATAAGAGCTTTCAGAATAATGTTTTTCTACATGATTTGGATTTAAAGTCAAATGTCCTACATTTGATTTTATGCTGATGTGGCAGAACAGGCCTCTCCTTTTCAATTAACAGAGATGGAAGATTTTAGTCTTAAAATGGTGTTATTTATTTATTTATTTGGTTTGTTTTAATGAACGGGGGAGGGTAGAGCTGCTGCTCCTTCCACTGTACGACAGGGAGGCAGCAGCAGGCAAGCGGCTCTGCTCAGAGACCCTCCAACAATACTGATTTTAGTCATGCGACCCCCCTCTCTCTCTCTCTCTCTCTCTCTCTCCATCCCATACCTCCCACCTCCATCAGAGCGGCTGTTCCTCGTTGCTGGGCTTGAAACAACGTCCCTCTCGTCAATGCAGCCATCAGCTGTATAAGCATAGATGCACATGCATACATTTCAAGCGACAGATCGGACTCCTGTCAGCTTGCGGCGCACGTATAAGAGGCTTAATCATTCACTAAAGTGTATTTGGAAGAGAGGAAATTTAGACTTTCTCAAGACATTTTCCTCAAAACGAAAAGCATAATCCAGTCTGCTAAGCATCAACACGCGGATCATTTGTGTTGATTTGGTATCAGTCGCTGTTCTGGCCTATCCAAATAGGGCATAATAAAGCGTGCACGCCAGCTACTTTCATAAAATTAAGTTAAAACCCCCCATCGAACACGGTTCGCTTAGTGACACCAATTCATCTAATCTCCTTCCATTCCCTAAGCTGCAGCAATGAAAAGTGCATTAGCATTCTGCCTTGGTGTGTATATCTAAGTGGCTTAAAAAGTGATTTGAAGTTGATTTGTATATAAAAGGCTCCCTTTATCCGGATTGAAGCTCTAATCTGCTCGGTGTCGCATGACTGCTCCAGGAAACCCCTTTGAGCACCTTCATATATATAAAGCTGGGGTATAAACGTGGGGATGGCTGTCATTAAAGCTTTTTTTTTTTCTCTCTCTCTCTCTCCTTTACTTACCCACTTCCTTTTACTGTCATCCAAAGGTATGAGAGAAAATCGAAGAGAACGGAGGACAGAGAGAGAGAGATGATGCAGATCAGGATCAGTCAAACATGCAAATCAGCAGACACATGTCACAAAATGAAACATTCGTTTCAAATACGGTGTTTTGGGGACATTTAGACTCGCTCCAAGTCGTGTAGTTTGATGGAGATGCCGCAAAGTGGCTCAAGCTGTGATTACACTGCGCTACTCATGCGTCGAGGGAGGTCTGCAAGCCAGATGTTAAGGCTGGTTCCTTCTTTTTTATATCCTTACTCGTCCCCCCTCTTACCCTGCTTCATCATGCATCAAACTTCTGATTGGAGGCCATATTTCATCTGTGCCGCGTTTGAAAAAATATTTAAGTAGCCCAGCAGGCAGTATGAGTAATAGGACAACCGTGAGGGTGTTACTGTTTCAATCAGCATTCACGTCGCCTTGTGCGCGCTCTTTAAGGAGAGGCGATGATAGTTTTATTGCCCCCCCATAAAAGGCACTTCCAGAAAAATATTAATTATGAGAGAAAAAAAAACCAATAAACCCGGACTTTTTAAGTCGGGAAGGAGAGGTGAAACCGTAGCTTCGTTGTGCCGGGTGCGTGTTTTAAAAGGACTGCAGAGAGGAGGAGATGCGGTTATAGGGGAGTAGGCAGCTCAAAGGGCAGTTTCAGATGGCTCATATTCCGCTGTAACTGTACAGCGCGGTGATAGCGGCAAAGCCGGAGCAGCAAAGCGGACGCACTCGCAGCATCTGCAGCATCAACACGTCAGACCGGGCACTTCCAGCGCGTGCGCGCGCAGTGCCATTCAGGAAACGCCGTGAGACGCACACTTTTCCAAGGGATGGCCGCGATATTTCACAAGTAATATGTGCAACACTGATGTGGGCTTTTTTTTTTTTTAACAAAAAAAACTCCTTCTCCTTTCTCTTCTCTGCTCAGTTGTGTTTCCTCATTCATTGTGCGCCCCTATGAAGAGCATTAACTATCCCTCCCTCCAATCCTATTGAAAAGGCAGCGAGGAAAAGAAAAAAAAACAGAGGGAGATGAGAGCAGCAAATCCCTTTTTTATTCCTCTCGTAGCGCTCAATAAGAGAAGAATGTGTTGCCTATCAGTCACCGAGGGGATCAAATCTTCGGGACTGTCCCACGCGTTCAGTGCGCCTCGCAAAGCATCACTGAGATAGACAGAGTGAAGAGGACATCAGCAGCAGCAGCAGCAGCAGCATCCTGCCTGGACACTTCACATCATTCAGGGAACCTGTCTCCACTCAGGATCCATCTAAGTCAATTAGGACTGCCGGCATCTCTCAGGTCTTCTCGTCGGTGAGCATGTGTGACTTTGCAAGCAGTTGTGCAGATAATTAAACAAACCGATTATTATTATTATTATTATTATTATTATTATTATTATTATTATTATCTTCAAAGGATGCTTTCTTGTTGCGCTTGTGAATTTTGACATTTCCCGTCCAGCATGTTTGAACCGAAGCCACGATGAGGAGTCTGGCTCTGCTGTTGGGAGTTAAAGCCGCCTGCATCCTCCTGGTGTCTTCGCTTTCCCGCACAGGGGCCGTGAACAACAGCGGCCGGTGGTGGTGAGTGCAGCAGACGGGGCATCCCCTCCTTCGGGTGGCTCAGCAGCCTCTGCAGCATCGCCGGGGCTGCCGTGCATCAACACTTTGCATGCTTTTTTTTTTTTTTTTTTTTTTTTTCTTTTTACTGGGTTACCACAGTTCTCCGTTGCATGCTCGAGATAATCTGTTTGTGTTGGAACGGTTCACAACTTCTGTGGAGTTTTTTTTTTCTTTAAAAGAGACGAGAGAGAGAAATAGAGAGAGAAAGGGGAGAAACCGCATGGTAATACGACTTGTGGGATTTTAGATTTCTTTTCCAAATTGCTCCACTTCGGCTCAAAGATTCATCATTAAGATTTAATTTACAGTTCGTTAAATAAACAATTTAGATATAATAATTATAGCTTTACATTTCATTTGGAGTTAATTTATCCCATTCCCTCATTTTCTGGCTCCGATTTTTTGCGAAAAAGTGTCTGACATTTTTTTCACCGCAATGTGGAATAAATTAAAAATGTATTTATTTCATAGCTGAGAGGAATCCTATATGAGGTCTTGTGTCTCCAAATTCCTCTGCCCATATAACTGCGACCTCAAACTAACACAGTGAGCCGCACTTTATTTTAAAGGCCTATATATATATATATATATATATATATATATATATATATATATATATATAAAAATTCCGATTTGCATGGTTTAGAGTACTTTCTTGCTTGACAAAAAAAAAAAAGAAAGAAAAAAAAACAGCAATATGAAGGCTGGGCGTGTTGAAGTGGGCGATCTGACGAAAACATTTTTTGCGGCGTCATTAGATTAGTTGAGAATTCAAATATTTAAAATGCCAGCTGAACTCCAAGAAAAAAAAAGAAGGAAATTGAAGCAATGGAAAGAGGAAAATATCTCTCCAAAATAGGGATTGTTATTATTATTTATGATCCCAGGCCTCACCGCACTACAGTGTAGGTCAGCCCCTCCGAGGAGGCCAAGACTCGCCCGATTTTTCTTTAACTTTCTCCCGGATGATAATGCTCATCAGGAGACATGATCATTACAGGGGTCCAAGATGGCAGAAGTCACACATAAAAAAAAAAAAAATAAATAAATAAATAAATAAATAAATAAATGAATAAAAAACTAACAGCAAAACAAGAGAAAGTTGAAAATTAGAATGCGCACTGAAACATCCAGAATGTTCCGACATTTGAGCACCAAAAGGGTTGAGGCGATGAGAGGCTGCTGCTCCGGGCTGAAACTGGCCCGAAACCGAGGAAACATTAGTGGCAAAATAGACCACAAATATTAAAAATTATACGATTAAAACGAACGGATAGATAGATAGATAGATAGATAGATAGATAGATAGATAGATAGATAGATAGATAGATAGATAGATAGATAGATAGATAGATAGATAGATAGATCACGTGATTCACAAAGAAGTCTAAAACGTGTATTCTGACTCAGAGCCTGAATGTTTCCTTGTGGTGTTAGAATACATGTGTCACAGCTTATTGTTGTAGCACAGAATGCACACTGTAATTTCAAAGGCACCACACTACCCATGAGATCTCTGTTGACATCCATGTGAGAGTTCAGAGTAGGGGTGGGCAACAATGTGGCTGTAAGATTTTACCACAAGATTTTGTGGTTTTTATTGCAATGATGATAAAAGTGATGATAAAATGTTCATCACAGTCTGCCGAGTGTAAATCTATCGTCTGTCTAAATGTTCTGAAGGCAAAACTTACTTTTTACTACCACAGATTAAATATAGTTCAACTGTGCACACAATAAATGCATCCAATCATATTTTTATGCAGTATTTATTGATAGTCATTTCTGGTCCAGTGAAAAGAAATCATGATCAGTCAAAGTACCAATCAAAACCATACATACACGTTTTTCTCCCTTGAGGTAAATTGATTGATTACAGCTGATGCATTTTGGCCCAAATTAATGAATTCTTATTGTAGTACAGTGATTTCTGACATTACAAATAAACACTAGAACTGTCGATGCCTAGCTTGGAGGGTCAACAGGATGCACATGACTGAAGAGGCAGCTACTGCTCTCTGATTTCCTTCCTGTCTTCATCTCAGGGGAATAGTCAATGTGGCTTCCTCGTCCAACCTCCTCACCAACTCCAAGAGTGTGCAGTTGGTCCTGGATCCCAGCCTGGCCCTCCTGAGTCGTCGCCAGCGTCGGCTGATTCGCCAGAATCCTGGCATTCTGCACGCCATCGCTGCAGGGCTGCACACAGCCATAAAGGAGTGCAAGTGGCAGTTCCGCAACCGCCGCTGGAACTGCCCAACCACCTACAGTCCAGCGATTTTTGGCAAAATTGTCAATCGTGGTGAGTCTTTCTTGTCTCTCTCCTCAGGGTATATTTGGACAGCCCTAAACAGGACACATTGTGAACATTTACTTATAAATACTTTCCAACTTTCAGTTAAAAGGGGGGGGATCATTGTCTGAAATGTTGTGTAAATTCTTAATGGAGAGTTTTGATGCTTATTCAGGTTGCAGAGAGACTGCGTTTGTGTTTGCCATCACCAGCGCTGGAGTGACTCATGCTGTGGCCCGATCCTGCTCAGAAGGGGCTGTTGAGTCGTGTACATGTGATTATCGGCGCAGAGGTCCTGGAGGCCCAGACTGGCACTGGGGCGGCTGCAGTGACAATGTGGACTTTGGCAAGATGTTCAGCCGTGAGTTTGTGGACTCCAGTGAGAGGGGAAGAGATCTGCGATACCTCACCAACCTGCACAACAACGAGGCCGGAAGAATGGTAACAAATGAATTGTTACAGTTCGATGCAACAGATTTGCATCAGATAGTTTGGTGATTTATGTTCTGGTTCTTCTCTCAACAGACTGTCTCCTCAGAGATGCGTCAGGAGTGTAAGTGCCATGGCATGTCTGGATCCTGCACAGTGCGGACCTGTTGGATGCGCCTACCCAGTTTCCGCACGGTGGGAGATTTCCTGAAGGAACGCTTCGACGGCGCGTCCAGAGTCATTTATGCCAACAAGGGCAGCAACCGTGCCTCTCACCGAGCCGAGCCCAGACATCTGGAGCCAGAAAACCCAGCTCACAAACCCCCGTCTTCCATGGACTTGGTCTACTTTGAGAAATCGCCAAACTTTTGCTCTTACAATGGGAAAACTGGCACGTTGGGAACCTCTGGAAGAACATGCAACAGCTCATCTCCAGGCCTGGATGGATGCGAGCTGCTGTGCTGCGGACGTGGATTTAAGACTCAAACTGAGAGCGTGACTGAACGTTGCCACTGCACGTTCCACTGGTGCTGTCATGTCAGCTGCCTGAACTGCACCAGCACACGAACGTTACATCAGTGTCTATGATTGAAGGTGGAACATTTGAGTTAATATTTGGGCATGTATTGGAGACAAAGATCGAACTCTTTTTTAAATGTTTTTTTAATCGAAGCAGGTTGTTGCTTTAGAGAACGCGATGCTCTCAAGTTAAGGTGTTCGGAAGAGGGTATTAAAGTTTAAATCCAGGTAAAATGACAAAAAGAAAAAATTTTCTGGCCCAAAAATCCTACCTGTGTCTCAGAAGGACAAAGTAAAGCACACGTGTATGAACAGGGTATCAAAGGAACACAGGTGCTTACAATTTTTAACCATTGTTTTGAGCAAATATTTGAACACAAAAAATATTTATGTTGAAGGGAAATCCCCCCGCCACGCTGAGAATAGCATGGAAATAAAAGGATTTAGCGAACAGATCGCAGCAACCATCAACTAATGTCCAAGTGGGAAGCAGGGCAGTGTTTCACAGATGTTTCTGAAGCCACAGAGCAGAGAGCTACAAATATGTTCTCCTATTACCAAGCAAGGAGCACTTTCGACTCCGCTTGTTTACGTAGAGCTTGGATGCTCCCAACCACTTCTAATTTCCCTCCAAGTCCCTTCGCTTCTTTAGCTTTCTCCGTTTCTTGAATCCCTGAAAAACAGATTTGCCACTTGAACACTTGACCAGAAAAATGCTGGCAAATTCACAGTGAGACACCAGACAACTACATTATTTGAATGTATTATGAATACACTGAATATTGTGCTAAATTTTGCATCAGAATTGAGAAATGATAAAGCTGGCACAAAAACGGGCGGTGACTTAAGAAAAAGGAAGTGTCCAGCATGACTCAATCTAGGCTTAACGTAGTTAAAATTGGTAAAATTATTATGTTTAAAAAGTGTAACGTGCAGCAAATATTTTTTCAAATAATAAAACTACTATGAAGATAGTCATAGTGTGCATCAGCTAAGAAAACCAAAAGGATGTAAGTGGTGGTGGTTCTTGAGTGAGCCCCTCTTACTGCTGCCCCACAAACAATTAAATGCAAGCAATTATCAGAGTAGAAGGGCAAACGGATAACATGCAGAAAATATGTAACCCTGTCGGTCACCCCATCCCTTTTAATTTCGCCCTGGCCCATACCACAAACCGCCACTGGATGTAGGTATTAAAATAGCAAAATATATTTATAAAAGTGGGGCTTGTCTATTTGCCAAATGATTTATTTGCCCATCGGTGACTGGACAGCATGGAGTCAATTCAGGATATGTTTAGAGGTATTTTTTTCCCCTTTTTAGTTAATGTAGCTGACAAAAGTTGACTCTTTTTCAGAAAATTCTATTTTTCTGCTAAGAAAACACTTGTTTGTTTTGGTCATGCACTGAATATTTACTTTTTTTATGAGTGTAAATACAAATATTTATTTTTGCTGATTTTTATACTGTTATAGAATATTGTCAGAACAGTCTCCTTTTAGATTCCAATCCAAAAATCTTTGATTCTAGTTGGGGTTTTTTTTACTGTATGATAGACAAATAAAGGTTATATTTTCAATTAAGCCAGTTCTTCTGAATGTGTCTGAGATGCTGTTAACGTCTGATATTCGTTCTGTTTTGTGTAAGAAGTTTGACAATGGAGAAAGTGAACACATAAGCTGGTCCCTGGGTGTCCTTTGCTTAATCCTATTACCACCGCCAAAGCAGCCTCTTTCTGCAGACTCACAAAGCATCCCTGCATCTGTGCTCTGAAGCGCAGAGACAGGCTCTGCTTATCCAGCCACATAACTCTTATCTCATACAGTATATGGATGTAGATTGAAGGCATTTGCTTCATTTGCCTAATGTCTGAAAGGGGGGAAAAAGACAGAATAATAATAATAATAATAATAACTAAAAAAAAGAAAACTAGAGTCCTTTTCAGGACTTTGGCAACATAACTAACCACAGAGACTTGGAAAGATTTGTAGTCTTTAACTAGGAGCAGTCTGAGAGCAAACAGGGTTTCTGAGAGGATGTCAAATAGGATGCACGCAGAACCACGCAAAAATGAGAAACAATTATAAAAAAAAATATATAAGAATTTGATCAACTGATCAAGTTGGGAAATTTTCAAGAACAAATTTCAGCAAACACAGAAAAGTTCCAAGAATAAGCAACATAAAAAGAAAGATTTGATAAAACTTTACCACAAAAATGTGAACACCTGCCAAACCGTGAATAAGCTACTGATCGAAAAGATGAGTAGAAATGACAACTGTAATCTAAATTTGACAAAGAAATAAAGTATATTGCAAAATTATTTACACTCCTTGATTTTCTTCCACATAGTACAGCAGATTAAGTGATGTTACTTGATAAAAACAAGCAACTATTGTTTTGTATAAAGATTTTCTAGCCACAGGCTAATTTGCAAATCAAAGTCCTTGATTGAACCTTAAAAAAAAAATAAAAATTAAGGATTCCCATCACACACACACAGGAATATTTCAGCACATATGGTGAAATACTTATGCATATGTGTGTGATTGCAAATCACATTATATTGTGACAGATAATGACAGAGTTCTCCGGAGAGGTGCTGGTGCCTAATCTCCAACGAGACATTTCAGGCGAGAGACGGGGTACACCCTGGACAGGTCACCAGTGTATCGACATGCACACACACCTAAGGAGAATTTTAGAGAGACCAGTTAACCTAACAGTCATGTTTTTGGACTGTGGGAGGAAGCTGGAGTACCCAGAGAGGGAGAACATGCAAACTCCATGCAGAAAGACTCCGGGCTGGGAATCGAACCCAGGACCTTCTTGCTGCAAGGCAACAGCTCTACCAACTGTGCAGCCAATTTTTTTAATCTTCAAAGATTGCAGCAGTTTCTAAATTAAGTTTAGGTTTGGATTTCTACCAGCTGAAGATCCTTTGATCTAAACTATTCCATTACAAATTCATCCAATGCCTCTATACAGCTTCCTCCATGTTCCCAAAAAAGCTGGCTGCTGGTGGTGGCACATGATGCTGCCACCACCGTCCACCAATGTGGAGATGGTGACTACAGAGTCATGAGCAGTGTTGGTTCTCCACCATAGGTAACTTTTGGGCATGTAGCCCAAAAGTTTAGTTTAATTTTTTTATCTGCTCTGACCAGAGCGTCTTCTTTCATTTAATTGATGTGTTTCCTCCATGGCTTGTGGCAAAATGTAAAATGGGGATTTCTCATGATTTGATTTTAACAAAAGACTTGTTGGAGTTCCTCGGATCAATGTCTCCGGTGGGAACAATTGTCATCTTCTGTTTGTCATGAATTTGATAAAATATGGCCTTTATGGATGAGTGACGAGTAAAAACATCTTAACTGCTTCTCCTATAGTCTCCTTGTCCAACTCATCAACTTAGGTTGAGGGCTATGTCTTTGTAGGCTTGCAGTTGTTCCATACACTTCATTTTGAAATTATGGATTAGACTGTTCTCTGTTTTATAACTGAACACTGCTTTAAAGGTTTCACAAGTATGTTATGTTTCGTGTTGGTTTGTCTCCTAAAACCCCAATAAATTACACTGAAGCTTGTGGTTTCTAACATGACAACGTTTGAAAAAGTTCAATGAGTGAGAATACTCTTGCAAGGCATTGTAAAAAGCAATGAAGAATGGAAAGTATTAAAACCCAATGAAATAAAGTGGTAGTTAAAAACCGAGTGAAAGCAGAGTTCACACCCCTGCCAAGAGAGTAAGATGGGAGAGTTGTTAGAGACGGTGATTGGAGGGGGTGCTGCCTGTGGGAGTGCTGAGGAGTCAGTGATAATTAGCTCAATTAGTGACAAAGGCAGTGTAATAAATACCGACTTAGTGTCTGGGTCCCTGCTGGCCTCTCCTTGCACAGCCTGCGATGTGGCCCTGGCCTGACGGACAATTCATTAAACTGACAAAATACCCCACCGTCCAGGCGTGACGCAGCGAGTTAGCCCCCTACATGCCCGGCTCATTGTTCTAATTGTCTGGGCTGGAGTCACTTTGTGGCCGCCTCCTCTTTCACCCGCCCCGCGTTCACGCTCTGCCTTCAGAAAAACCCATGGAGTTAAAGCCCCTACCTTACTCTGCAAGTAGGTGATCGGCAGGTTGGGAAAAAAACCAGTAAGCGCTCCTTGGGGTGGGGCTGCTGGCGGGTGGGTGGGGGGGTAGGCAGTGGGATTAGCGAATGGAGGTTGCCTGGGAGTGCTGAGAGCAGCACTGATCGGAATGTAGGAGAGATGAGTCCAGAAGCTCGGATGCGGGACAAAGCGAGAGTTAATAAGGAAAGATTGAAGGGGCTGGCGACAATGGGCCGCCACCCGAGTCGAGATGAAATTGCTTCCGAGGATTATTGGGAAAGGGTGTGAGCATTGTAGGGTTTTTGTGTGAGTACGAGCTTGCTCGGCCATTTGTGTGTTTGTGATTATGTGTATGTGTGCTCAGTGGAAAGGGGCGGGGGTGCGGGATTGATCGCTGCCCCTCTGGTTGGGGAGCAGGAGACCGAGGGAGGCTAACCGGCTGTTCCCACAGTCTGCTCTGCAGCAGCCACCTTTGACACACGGGGCTGCCAGGCGGCAAGCAGGCAGCCATGGTGAGAAGGGCACAAACAGGAACAACAGCCTGCTCTAAACAAAAGTCACTTGCTTTGGCGACCAAGAGAGAGGCACAAACCGGAGTGGAGGGTCTGGAGACAGCACAAAATTATATGATTGAGTCCTATTTTGGTTTTGGACACATACAGCGCCTGTTTTGCCAATATCTCATGGTAACATCTTGCTGACACCCAGATACAGGCTTCTCATGAATGGAATATGTCCTGTATCAAATTATTTTATTTGGTCACGGGGCTTACCCAGTAATACATATTCAATTTCTTGTCACAATAAATCTATTCTCCATGATATCCTGACCTTGCAAAAAAAAAAAAAAAAGTGCACGCTAAACGGTCCAGGCTGAAGAAGCAAGTGTGCCAGTTAAGTAACTAACTTAACCACAGGCGTAGGGCGGTATTAGATTCTCACATGCTAAAAAAAAAAATTCCACAGTTTCACTGTATCACAGGATTTAGACAAAAATGTAAAAATTGCTCATCGAATTGATTTCATTCAAAACAGAAATGCGCCGCAGGCAAAAGTAAAGGTGTGTCGAGTTCAATGTTGTTGTAGTTGTTGGTAATTTCATTATGAATTTAATTACTGCAGCCATGGCTTTTAGTTTTATTTCATTGTACAGATGTGCCTCTACACCTACAAAATGGCCCAGTCAACAACACAAAACAAACAAACCAAAAATAAAATATATATGACAAGGATACTTCATAAGTAAATAGTTATATAAAACATTGCAGACTTTGCTTTTTTATAGAACAACAACGGTATCCTAACAAGCTAATATTAGCTGGGTAGTCGGTCAAACTGTCTGTACAAGTAACAAACCTGGAGTCTGCTGCTTTACAGGCTCACTGCTTGTAATCAACAGTAGTTGCAGGCTTAGGAAGAATGGTGTGTGCTGCTTTCTGTTCTTTTATCAAGACTGGAAATGTTTCCAAACAGCTGAAATTATCTTCGTGAGCAAAGAAAAAGTGCAGAAGATGTCTTAGAGGGAGATGAAAAACGTATTTCTCTTTCTCTACCATCTCATTAAAAAAATGTAATTGTAGGACGAACTATCAAATGACATTAACTTAGATTAAGTAGCTCGAGAACCATCATAATGAAAAAGATGTCCTCTAAAAGAGTAATTTGCTTTTACTTTTTTCTTTAAATTGCTCAACAGGTCAGTTAATTGTGGAAAAGAGGT